CCGATATTGTCTTTCAAGTACTAACATTGAATTTACACGACGAAAAACGGTTAATTCAAGTAATTTACTAAAGCAGCGCTGTGGCAGTGTAAAACAGTTGGCAGGTTTTCAGTTTTATTTCCTTTACAAAAGAGTCTTACACATGGTTAGCTGTCTTTGATGATGAATATTGACCATATTTGTCAATTCTCCTGCCCAGGTGTCATAGCCTATTTTCTCTCTCAAGCGGCTTTACCTTCTTAACGTAAGGCCTTTCATCTACTGTTGCTGTTACTATGTCATATTCATTCATAATGCTTGCGAAGACCGCTTTGGATGTGGATAGGCTAAATATACTGAATGCAGATCGAAGCAGCTAAGTTTAATTATTGTAATAACGTTTAATGACTGCCATTTGTGGTTATTTCCGGAAATATAAGATTTATAAAAATAAATTTTGAAGTGCTTAAATTTAACTTTCAGCAGAAGTAATTTTTATGTTATTTTATTTTGTACTTTTGTGTTTAATTTTATTTAAACAACATTTTATTTAGGCGTCGGGGATGGTTTTACTATCCATTTGGTGGTGCGGATTTCCCAGAAAGTACAGCTTGATTCGCATGAATCACGACTGTTAATTGGCACTGTTTGTTTTTCAGCCTACTTCTGCTGCAACCCCTGCTTACACGACTACCACAACGTCCGCTGGGCAGGTAAAGGGTTTGGGTGACTTCGTTGAATTCCCAGGTGCTGGAAAACTTGATTTCAGACTCAACCGGCAACGCCTGCAAATCCTACCGGTAATGTATTCGGCTCATTGGGCGCTAGTATCCCTGGATTCGACACGTTCGCTGGAGCTGGTACACTAAATGATTTAACATTTGTCTAAAATTTATGGCTGCTAATTTCGTTCCTTGTTAGGTACCTTTGCCGAAATGCAGCAGAGGTTGCAGCAGCAGGTAAGCGCTAATCGTTTTTGCGCATACCTCGTTGAATATATGTAGCTTTTAGCTGTTAAACAATCCAGAAGCATTCAGACAAGCGTTGGAAAATCCGTTCGTCCAGAATCTGATGGACAGTCCCGACATGTTCCGAAACTTGATCATGAATAATCCGCAGATGCAGCAATTAATTGAGGTAACGTTTTGTTTTGAAAATATGGTTATATTTCATCTTCATCTTCATCTTCCATCGCCGCTTCTCCTTTCGGGTCGCGGTGGTTATATTTTTACTGTGTTAATAACGATATTGAAATATGATGAATGTCAGTGGCACATGTCATGTCGCCTTCATGCTAGAGAGATGATGATAACTAAAGGCACAAGTTTTGTTTAGTTTTGTTTTCTCGATTTCGAAGTTTCAGATGACGTTTGAGTTGTTTTTTCTTATTTCTGGTGAAATCTACCAAGGGCTATGACCAAATTTTTCGTTTTCTTGCTTTAGAGTCGTTGTCCGATAGAATTGCATGGCGAAGAGGTTCGTTAATGCTTTCTCCGCGAACTAATGCAGATAATGAAACTCATTTCGTCCGCCCAGCTTTTAATTATCAGAATGTTTATCTCCTAGGCAGGATTGCTGAAGCACAGTGAACGATATCATCAGCGCTGAATAGCGCATCATATTGTCATTGCAAAGTGATCGGATTCTTTACTTTGCTTGTTGCTTCCTCGTCTTTATGGAGGTACCGATGTCGGGTTATGGCTAGAATTACTTGCTTTCCATAAAATTCAAATTTATTAATTAACTTTGGTGTAGAGGAAAAACTGCCTTAGATGAGGTTGGTAACCAAAGTCCATCGTGGGAAACTGAGCGGGCGAAGTCTCACAGAACCTTTACCTGGAACTCCATTTGATTGCGGCGAAAGACAAACCTACGTTCAGTCCAAGACACGTGGTAAGCGTGTAAATATCCGAAACCATTTTCCCGAGTCAAAAGAGATGG